ATACAGTAAAATTGTCTCAACTGCATTTTCTTATGAAAATCTATTTGATGCGAATTGTAATAAATATATTTTCTTTTAGAGTTACCGTTAAAAAAGAATTTGTAAAGCCTCTACATTCTGTTAAATATCTCAATATAGAAAACGAATTGAGGTAGTTTGGCTTTTATTTATTGTGCCTTGGTAGAGAAATCATGGAGTAAATTTGAACTGCGTGGGTAAACAAACCTGAACTGTCAATTATGAGATGTTTATTGCAATGTGGTAATAAACAAGCATTTGGAAATTTTACCACAACCTGGCTGTCACTCAAGATTTTATTAACCGCTTTACATTAACATGCTTTCGTCAATCAATTTTATGTTAAAACCTGATGGTGTAATATACGATTTTACCTCAACGACGACTCATTTGAAATTTATTCAATTCAAGAGTTTGAGCTGATTGCATGCTGAACGCTTTTATTAACTAAATATTTTTTGCCTGTTAATGTGATATTAAGTTTCTTGAGTTTATTATTTTCTTGGCAACATCTGCAAGCGCCTCATCGACAACAAGGTGCTTTCATCAATCTTCAATTAAAGGTGCTGCACCAAGGATTTTTAATAATTTAAAAGAGGAAAGCGAAGGTGAATAAATTGGCTCAGTTGAACTGACGAGCACACTTCTTTGAGATGCATTCCAATGAATTGGTATATAAAAATAATGAAGCACAACTAAACGAGTTTAATGAAAAAAAATATTATTCAAAGTGAAAAATAATTTCCTTAGATTTTAATATTATTATATTTTTTAACATTGCGTTAAAATATTTAATATGCCGTTTAAAAGCATAGGTAGAGAGAAAGTAATAGTTTGATAGGATCCATTGTTCCGGCAGTGTTTCTCATTGGAAACTCCATTGTGTGATTCCAATCAGAACTAAATAAAACAAAGTCACATTTTCAGTGGAAACTTTTAATTCCTAATGCACCTGAATTTGAAAACGCACTTGCAGAGGCAGTTCCAATGATGCAGCCTAATTTTTAATGGAATAAGCAAAATAACTTCAATCGGTTTTTACTTAAATCACAAAATTATAAATGTAAATGAAGATTAATCTATGAAAAGTAATTAGAACGCCAGTTAATATTTAAGAAGGAGAAACCAATGAGTTAATTAAAATCATATTCTTCGCATTTAATTAAATGCAATTATAAATAACGTCTCCAATTAAATCCCTTGTTAATATTAGGATTTGAGGGGTTCCAAAACGCAACGAAAAATAAAAAAAAAACATTTGCTGATTCACCACTGAGTTCAAACGCTACCCGTTAATACTAATTA